CAAAATAAAGGCTTAAGGTTTTACATAGGACATGTTAAATTAATTAAACAAACCAATAGACTGATGTGGCGCTAATGCTGCAGTGGTCTACACTAAGCAAACCAAAATCTAAACCTATAAATACCTCAAGTTTACAAAATCAAAAGGCTAAGGACAGCCAATCACAGCCAACTAGGATATTCGCTGTAGCCAATCAATAATTTCCTTACTTTTCTTCCACCTTTTCTCTGTAGAAGCCTCTCTCTGTGTTCCAGTAGTGCAGCAAGCATTCCTAACCATTTCTGCTGCCCATTTTGAACGAATTTTTGCTCCTAAAAATCTTAATATATCTCAGTTTATCTTTTAATAGAAACTATAGACAAATTTAACAAATGATGAATGGGTCAAAGATATTTGAAATATCTAAATGCAACAAGGGATTGATTCTAGAATATTTAAGGAACTTATAGAAAGTAATGATAAGAGAATAGCAACCCCAATAGAGAAATGGAAAAGGGATATGAACATACAGTATATAGAAGCAGAAATATTCAAACAACTTGTTTTTGTTTGCCTACTTATTAAAGGCAAGAGAATATGTAGAATACACAGAAGAGAAAAACTGAGGCCAACACTCATAAAAAGAGCTATTCCAAAGGAGTACTAGTCACAGAAATAGAAAATAAAACAACCATGAGGTATCACTTTATACCCATTAGACTGACAAAAATTAGCAAACTGAATAATGCCAAGTACTAGTAAGGATGCAGGAATCCTCCCAGGTGACTGTTGGGAATGTGGAATGGTCTTGCCATTTTGGAGGGCAGTTAGTCAGTATCCAGTTAATTTAAGAATAGGTGCATATTCTGTGATTCAGCAATTCTATTTCTGGATCTGTATTGAGAAGAACTTCCCAGCAAGTCCACAAGGGAACGTATATGGGAATAATTTTCACAGCATGCTTCTGTGGCAGAGAACTGGAGGCAATGTGGGCATTCATGACTGTGGGGGTGGATAGGGAAATGGAGTGTACTGTGCACATACTGGAAGAAATTGACAACATACACAAAATAACATGGAAAAAAATTTTAAAGCGTATGGGTAGTGAGAAAAGGTAAGAAAGAGAATGGATACATAGCCCAATACCATTCACATAAAATTAAAGAAGGGGTACGAAAACCAAAAATACACACAAGAATACATATGTATAAAAAGACATGCTTTTGACAGAATGGGGGAAGAGAATAGGGATAAATGAAGACCCTGCAAGGGTCCCTTGCAGGGACCAATGATGACAATGTGTCATGCACAGAGTAGGATAAAGAAGTCAATTATCTACATTTGAAAAACAAGGAAAACTACACTGGTCACATCCCACTAAATGTACTTTGGAAAACACTGCTTCATGGGTAGCAAATGAATTTAATAATTTTGATGTCCTTTTTCACTACCCTTTTAGGTGATATGGAACAAAGTTAAGTTTTATTTGAAGAGCTTAAGTCATGTCCTTGCTTTTAAGTAAAAAATAATGATTTTGTCATAAAAAGATATTGTGAATTTGCAGAT